GAAACAAGCTCTCTAGGGGATTCTGATGCTTCCTTGTGTCTGAGGCCATTGTCCTCCAAAGCCCACGGATGGCCTTGAGGAAAGCTGAGAATCTCTAAGATGTAGGTGAAGTTTGTGTCTGGTCTCAGGACTGGGCGCTCAGCTTCCATTCGATTCTCACAAAGTCCCTGATCTGGGCTGGCGGGGACCCCTCCCTGGTGGAGGGCGTTGAGGTGGAGAAAGGATGTGGCTACCCAGGGGGATGGAGGTCACAGTGACCCCGAGGGCTGACATACGCCACCTCAGTAGAAACTGTCTCTGTCCCAGAGATCAGAGGAAGCTGTCACTTCTGTTCACCCAGCTATAACTCCAACAGTTTGGACTCCCTACCTGTCCCTGACAGGCTGGCAGGGGTTCTGCATCCCAAGCCTTCTGGGTTCACACCCATCTCAGTTCTCTTTTCACTTGCAGGCCTGCGAGGTTTATCAGGTTCTCACCACACGTCAGGCAGCATGCCAAGCTCTCTTTGGAATTTTCTCACTGAATCCTCAACCCTAGAGGTAGGTGTGGTTATTATTCCAAGGCTCAGAGGAGTTAAGTCACTTTCTCAAGGTCACACAGCTGGTGGGGGTTTTCCTGCCTCTTGAGCCTGTGGTATACCTGACCATTCTGATCCACTGATTTTAGACTCAGTGAAGTGGAGTCAGGGCAGTTTAGGGCAGTTTTCTGCCTCCAAGGCCCTCCCTGTCCTAAGTGGTGGTGCTATAATGCAGGTGATAATACTGATATCAGTCTATATTGCTATGATTTATCATCCAAATGAGGACCTTTGAGACCAAAAGGGGTGTCATTAGTAATTGCAGTAAAGTGGTTGCATAAGGAGGGGCTGTCTTGAGTCTCCCCTGTCCACTGGGCACTTTCTTTGTGCCAATCTCTAGACTAATCTCTTTGTACAGGTCATCTCATATGATCCTCACAATCGCCTAAGGGGATAGCTATAATTATTCCATGTTATAGATGAGGAAAGACAGGCTCAGAGATGTGTTCTGCCCAGGGTCACACAGCTGATAAGTTGCAGAGCTGGATTTGAACTCAGGAACTCAGCCCCAGAGACCATGTCTTTAACCACCTGCCTTCAGCAGTGGCTGGGGCTCTCAGAAAGGTCAAGGGTAGAGGGGAGTGGCTTGGTTTTTGGAGCCAGACAGACTGGGAATGACATTCCCCACTCATAGCTGTGTGACCACAGCCAGGTCCATGGCCTCTCTGTTTTTTTCATCTGTAAAACAGGGGAAGGGTTACTAACTCAGATCCAGTGAGACAATAATGCAGGTGAAGTGCATTCAACAAATGTTTATCAAGTGTTGACTCTCTGCTTGGCCTTAGGGACAGTGCTGAACATGGCAGGCACGGTCCCTCCCCTTTGGAGCTCACAGCCTGGGGTGAAGATGAACTAGGACATCAGTGGAGTTGCAGGACATCCTGGGAACACTGAAGACAAGAAAGAGTCTGCCTAAACTGAGAAGGAGTTGGGGAGAGGTGCAGGGAGGAGTAGGGAATATTCTAGGAAGGAGAGACAGCATGGTAAAGGCTTGGAAGTGAGAGAGCACATAGGACATCAGGGGACTGAGGGTGTCAGAAAAACATGAGGGCCCATCAGAGGCACAAGCAAAGGACTGGGAAAAGAATCCACTTCCAGCTGAGTATTAGGAAGCCTTCTTGGAGGAGGTGGCTTTGGGCTGGGCTGGAAGTTAGAGCAAGACTTTGCCTTCCAGTCATAGAGGGCTGGGAGTCCTAGGTGGTAAGCACAGCACCAACAGAAATGCAGAGGTGGGGCTTCTACGCAGCAAAAACTAACAAAATGAAAAGGTAACCTATGAAGTGGGAGAAAATATTGGCAAATTATATATCTGATAAGGGGTTAATATCCAAAATATAAGTAACACATACAACTCAATAGCAAAAAAAAAAAAAAAATCCAATTACCACATGGACAGAGGAACTGAATAGACATTTTTGCAAAGAAGATCTACATATGGCCAGCAGGCACATGAGAAGATGTACATCACTAACCATCAAGAAATCAAATCAAAACCACAATGAGGTATCACCTCACACCTGTTCGAATGGCTATTATCAAAAAGACAAGTGATAGGTGTTGGTAAGGATGTGGAGAAAAGGGAAGCCTTGTGCACTGTTGGAAGGTTGGACAGCTTGTAGCCACACAGGGGTAGACAGGCCTTGAGGGCAGATGTGGGGAGGGAACAGGAGAGGTTGGAGGCAGGTCAGGAAGGGCCTTAAAGACCACATGAGGATGTCTGGACTTTGTTTGTTGGGCTGTGGGGACCCATCAAAGGTGTTTGAGCAAAGGAGAGCCAAGATCATAGTAGGCTTCAAGAAGATCAGTAACGGAGAAGAAAAACTTTCAGGCGTGGAAGCTGTCATCTTTTCCCTTCAGAAGGGGAACAACCATTCTGAGAATTCTGTGATTTTCCAGAAGCTTTGTTACTTCCCTGTGTTTGTGACTTTCTAGTTCCTTGCAGTGATTACCCACAAAACCCCAAACCAGAAAGAGACTGGAACTGTCCCAACCTTGCTAGGAGGAAAGGAGCCCTAAGCGGGGGGTGGAGGCATAGGGAGCTGTTGGAGAGGTCAGACAAGCATGCCAAAGGGGGACCAGAGAGAAGGGCAGGGGCTGAGCCAGTGGGAGGGGGACCACAGAGAGATAGTCTGGCTTCTTTGATGTCCCTGAGTCCCTGCTGGATCCTGAGAAGGGCCACCCTCTGCCCCAGGCTGGGCACCCTTCATCAGGCCCCAAAAGTCATGGCAGGTCATGGCAGATGGTATTCTGAGCTGTGGGAACCCATCACAGCCCAGAGAAGCCCCAGAAGCCCCCACCAAGGAGGAGCCTACCCAGGGAATTCCAGGAGCCTCACCCCGAGTGGACGGTCAGCACCCTGACTCCAAGGTTCAGCCTGCTGCCCTCTCTGTGTCCAGGAACTGGACTCAGAGACTCCCTGAGAAAGGCAGTAGCAAGGACACCAGACTGGCAGGCATGAGCCTCCCTGTGCGTGACCTTGGGCCAGCACTTCATGGCTCTGAGCCTCAGCTTCCTCACCTGGATCTTCCCTTGGCATGTCTCCTGGCTGTACTGTGAACATCACATGGGTCCACCGATAGGAACCCACTCTAAATGGTGAGGGACCGGGACAGAGTCAGGGTCTCAAGGGTCTCTTTCTATATTACATATTTGGTAATAGATACTTTTTAGTGTAGGCATATATTATATAAATGCTTTTATGAAAATAATTTTAAATGACTATGAAGCTGAATGCGAAACTGAAATAGAAGAGGCCTTGTGGAGACAGGGCTCTAATTCAAAGAAGGGGCATTAATGGGGGTCGTGGGGCCCCGCATCAGCTGAGGGTCAGGGCCCCTCAGCAAAAGCTTTCAGTCCTTCCCTCTCTTTCCAGGAACAAGGACGCTGGCTGTGAATAGGGTGGCGGAAGAATTGTGTAGTCAAGTGGCTCATCGTCTGGCAGGAAAATTCCAGCTCACCCGTTCCCGTGGGCCCGCCTGAGTGGCGGGAGCCCGCAGAGGTTGACCTACGGTTCCCCCGTCCTCCAGCTCCTGCACCCCTCTGCACAGGGGACTGTGGGTTCCAAGTCCCCCACCAGACTCTTGCTTATTATGTCCACTTAGCCCTCAGACTCCCTTAGCTCTCTCCTCTCCCCCAGTGCTTTCTCCTGGAGACCCACAGACCCAGAGGTCTGGAGTCAGGAGACGGGGGCTGGGACCCAGGCTTCCCCACTCACCTGCCATGCAAGCCGGCCTGGGCTTCGCCTCCCCTAGGGCTGACCTGGGGGTCGGCCAGGCCCAGGCTCCTATCCCCTCCCTGCCACACCGACCAGATGACATTGGGCAAGCCAATTCAACCCCCCGTGAACTGGTGTCCCCTTTGTAACATGGGGACAATAGTAGCCCCTGGTTCACAGGGTGGATGTAAGGGCGAATGAGAAATGTGTGCAGCAACAGGACAGGCCTGGTACAGAGTAACTGTTCAGTAAGTGGGCACCAGCGCTCTATCCTCCTTTATCCCTCTGTGGCATCATTAGCTCCATTTACCTCTGGGGAAATGGAGGCCTGAGGCCAAATAATCCACCCAAGGCCCCATAAGGAGCAGGCCTGAGATGGAGGGAGCCGAGGTCCCCTGACCTCCAGATGGAGGCTTTTCCCACGGGCGAGGGTAATCCGCACCTGGAATGTGGTGATTTACTCTCTTTACAGGGCAGATCTGGGTATGGCTTATTCATCTTCTACCACAGCCAGGAGAGACGGGGTCACGGGTTCTAAGGCCAGGACCCCCAGGAGGGTGGGCCCTGCAGCAGGCGGGGTTTCCCTGGGGGTGGCTCAACCGCCCGAGTTGGCGGCTGGGCCCATGAGTCAGAGCTGCCCCACGTCTCTGTTCCTCTCCCCACTGGCAGCCACGGCCCCAGACTCCTGGAGGCAGTCCAGGGAGCCCTGTGGTTCCAAAACCAGGTGCCTGTCCCTAGAAACAAACTGAGAGGCCCCTTCCCCAGTTCAGAGTGAGCAGGGAATGGCCAAGGTCACGTAGTGAGGTGTGACAGATCTCAAGCTGAAACCTGGTTCCACCTCAGGTGACCCCTCCCAAAGGGCTCAGGCGGGAGGGCCAGGAAGCCCCAGGCTGGGTCCAGGAACTGTGCACCCTGCCCTCGGCCCCTGGCAGCTCTATTGCCCTGGCTTCCTACCGCCGCCAGGTCTCCCAGGCCTGGGCTGGGCAGTGGAGCCGACGTCCAGTACTGAGCTGGCCAGCAGACACCGAGATGCCTGGTTCGTGCCAGCCCCACGCCACCGAGCTGCTGCAGCCATGGGAGGCCGGTCCGCACTCCTCTCCCAGCCTGGCTAGACTTTGCTCTCAGAGACCCAGCCGGGCCGCCCTTCCCACCCCTGCCACCGGCCTTGTCCTGGTGGCTCTCACCCCACGTCTTCCTCCCTTCCTCTTCCCCTCTCTCCTTCACCCTCTCTTCTCATTCTTCCTGCTCTCTGGACCCCTTGGGTGCTCTGTCCATCTGCCCTGCTCCTACCTGAGACACGACCACTACTCACCGGGGCCTGGGATCTGGGCTTTAGCGGATGCCTCTCATGAGCCACACCAGCCTCAATCTGGGCCCATGGGCAGAGTGGAGGGAGGGAGGGGGGTGGCCTGGCTTAACGGCCAAAGCCAAAGCACATGGTGGGGCGGAGTGGGGCTGGCGGGGGAGCACAGGCTCCCAACCCAGAGCCGGGCACTGCAGAGCCGGAAGAGCCTTCTCCTTTCGCAACCTGGAAAACCAAAGCCTGAGGTCCAGGTCACCTGGCTACCAGCGAGGAGCTGGGGGGAGTGTGAAGACCCCCGTCTCACAGATGGAAGCAAGACTTGAGCTGAAGGGCCCTGTGCAGGGATCCTACAGCTGGGCGAGCCCGGCTGCCCTACCCCACTCTTGCCACCTCCCGGGCCCGGGGATCCAAACCTGCGAGACACCACGAGGTCTGTGGGTGAGAAGCACCAGGTTTAATATTAAAATCTTTCTTTTAAAAAAAAAGTACACAGAGAAGAAAAGTTGATGGCATACAAAATAGCACTTCTGTTGTATAAATGTGAGTTAATGTGAGTCCTAAAAATACTTGTAAACCTAGGTGATTACATCTTTGGTACCGTAGTGAGAACCCACGCCCTCTCCTTGACCAGGCTTCGGGGGTCCTGGGGCGGGGAGGTGCCAACCAACACAAGGGGCTGGTGCCCAGAGGCGCTGACCTTCCCTCACCCTCCCTCCAGCCCTTCCCCTGCCAGCAGTCTTGGCCACAGCCCTCACGCCCCAGTTCCCTCCAGTGCCAACTGGGCTGGCAGACACAGTGAGGTGAGCATCCCCGGGCAGACAAAGCCATGTTCTACGGTTCCTGCCTCAGGGTGGGGCAGCTGGCAGGTGGGAAGACACCACCCAAAGTACCCACCTCTTGCGCCCCTTCCTCAGGTCCCCCATCCAAGGTTTCTTGTCCTTTCACTGTCCTCTAGGTCTGCGGCACAGACCTGGACAGCAGGTACGAGCAGTGGGCTGTGACAGGTGGTCTGACTTGCCGTCTTGGCCTCCTTTGCCCAGAATAGCTCCAGAGGTCATGTGGGTGCTGAAAGGGGTCCCACGGTCTCCCCATGTCCCTGGGGCAGCTTCTGGGGGCTTTCCAGGACACTGGCTGTCGCTCAGAGTCAAGGCCTGGGCAGCTGGCCTTTGGGGACTTGCCAGGGGCCTGGGGGAGGGGCACAGTTCCTGAATGCCTGGAGTGTGCTGTGTAGTCTGGAACCTCCCCAGACCCCAGCTAACCCAGGATAGAGGTTTGGAGGGTTTATCTTTGCTTCATCTGGGCAAGTGTGCAACCCCTGGAATATTCTAGAATGTTAGTGCTGGCAGGGCACCAGAAGTCAATGAGTCCAACCTGCTCATTTTTCAACAGGGAAAACAGAGGGCGAGGGATTCCTCCAAGGTCTCTTAGCGGGTCCAATGCCACATTGGTCCATACATGTGGACACCTCTTGCAGGCACGTCAACACACTCATCACAGACGTGGGGCCCATCTGGCCCTGGAGACTCTGGTGAGCGGAGTAAGACTGGCAGTGATGAGGAAAAAGACCCCTGGATCCATGGGGCCAGGAAGACACGGACACAGGCATGTTATGGGGAGGTGTACCCCGAGTGCCTGGGGCAGGGGCTACAGGCCAGGGTGTCCTGTCCTTGGCTCGGCCCCCAGCATTAATTAAGCTTGGAAGGCCCCAGACCAGCCTGGGCCTGGGAAAGCAAAGACTGGCATTGAGGGGAGGTGGCTTCTGGATGAGACAACACTGTCCAAGGCCAGGCCCTAGCTCAGCCAGGAGCCAGAGATGCTAGGGTCCCTTCCCCAGCTCTTGGGCAGGAAAAAGTGCAAGGAGAGAGCTGCAGCTCCTTGAGGGGCAGCTGGCTGAAGAGAAAAAAAGTTAACCTACCACCTCATGAACCTTGAGCATCTCCTCAGGGATTCCAGCCTCCATATCTATCAGCCAGGGTGAGAATCCCAGATTGTGGGTTGCCAAGCCCACCTTTCCCATCTTACAGATGGGGAAACTGAGTCCCCTGGGAGAAGCCTGGCTCAGAGTCACATGCGCTCTCCAGAGGCAGAGGACCGGTCATGGTCCCTACAGCTCTCTTACCTCCTAAGCCAGCCCCAGGGGTCGGGGTGTGATGTGCCAGGGGCAAAAGCTTTCCAGAGGGGACAGCTGATGGGAACAGCCTGGCTGTCGGGAGGCTGGGCCAGGCCAGGAGGCGCAGGGTGCTGGGAGGTAGAGGGGGAGCTTCGGGTAGGGCAGGGTGGGGGCCAGCCCCTACAGGAAGCTGTCCTCCGCCTCGGCCCGAGGCCCAGGGCAGCTGGAATCCGGCGGCCGCTTGGGCTCTGGCTCCACCTGGGACTCAGGCTGGGGCTCTGGCTCTGGTTCCTCTTGGGGTTCCAGGGGGCTGTCACAGGAGATGGTTGAGGAGGTGTTGACTTCATTCAGGGCGGAGCTAGAGGTGGAAGGCAAGTGAGTGAGAGGCTGGGAGGGAACCACAGTGAAATAATACCAGCATTAACGTAGAGCTTTCTATCTATCCACCCTTGCAGCATGCACCTTACACATTTTAACTCACTGAATCCTTGTAAAGGCTATGCAAGGCAGGCGCTGTGAGGAAAGTGCAGCTCAGAGAGGTTACATCATTGCCTTGCATCACACAGCGGGTAAGTATAGGAGTTGGGACTTCAAAGCAGATCGAGTTGATTGCTCACCCATCAGTGTCTCTCTCCTGCATGCCTGAATGTATAATGATCTCATTTAATCCCCACAACAACCTCCAAATAGAAGTATTCTTACTGTTTTCATTTTACAGTTAAGGAAACTGAGGTTCAGAGAGGGGAAGCAGCTTGTCTGAGGGCACCAACATTCACACCCCAAGCTGTTTGAAACTCTGAGCTCAACTCCTCTATACATTGGCTACTTGGAGCCTTGGAATATTTTGGGCGTGGGTTTGGCCACATGGGGAACATCTAGTCCAGGCAACAGCTGGCCTTCCTCCAAAGCCCTCCCCATACCATAACATCACATCCTGAGGCAAAAGAAAAGCACGAATCTCCTCCCCAGTCTGAATTCTGGCCTGAACTTCTGTAGGTACCTCTGCCTCCCTGTGCCAGGCTCCCTGGGGTCCTCAGGGCATGGTGCTAAAGGACAGACCACAGGGCTGGCGATGACCATAGAGTAATACATGGGGTGCTGGGGATGCGAATTAGATTTTCCTCTTTTCCTCCTTAGGGCTAGGACAGGGCCTAGAGAGGGGACAGAGTAGATGGCCTGTGGAGGCTCCTTTAAAGAAACAGCTACCTTACAATATATCCCAGGCCACTTTCTCTTACCAGCCTGCCATTTCCAATCGAGGTCATCAAAGGTCAAATGAGTTCAGTTCTCTCTTCTATTCACTGGCAGGAATAAGTACTCACCCTAGGTAACTTACTTCTAAGGCAAGTCTGATGGCATGAAGACACAGACAGACACACACACACAGACACACACAGACACACACAGACACACACACACACACACACACACACTATGCACCCTACTGCTTTGGGCTGCAGGTCAGAATGGCTACCTGGCAAGGCTGGGGGAACCCTCCAGTGGTCCCTCAACAGCAACCTCGGGTTTGGGGTCAGGCAGGGGGATGATATAGTCGTTGTCACCCTCGTTGGGCTGCACAGCAGTGTAGAGGACGGAGCTGGTGTCCAGGGGGGATCGGAGGCCATTGAAGCCGGGCAAGCGGGCTTGGGACCGAAGGACAGCTGGGTGGTCGCTCCTCAGAAACTCCTCATCCACCTGCTGGTACTTCTGCTCAGCAGGGCAGGAAGAAGCCGAGACACAGGGAGGGTCAGACCAGAAATGCCTTTAGGGATCATCTACCGGGCAGATTCTGACCCAGCCCCTCCCACCTCATGTAAATAAAGCACCTGGTGCTCAGAGAGGAAGAATTGCCCAAAGCCCCACAGCTGAGCTGCTTTCCTACCTGGCCTCTCACCAGACAAGATAGGCTCAGGGTCACCCAGGGAGGGGACGGTGATCGGACTAGCACCCGCAACCCTAACTCTTCCCCCACTTCAGGGTAGACAGGCACGGACTCTCTGCCTGCCATGGCCTCCCTCACTGGGGCCACAGTCTCCCTCGCTACTGAAGGGAGACAACTCCCTTCCAACTCACTGGTCCTGGAGCTATAAACAGATGTGTTTGGGAGTGGGCTTAGGAATGGACTGAGGGAAAGGGCTGTGTCTGGGCCAAAGGACACGTGCATCCCCCTCACTGTAGCTTCGTAGTTGGGCAGCGAGGGTTTTAAGGCCCTGCTGGCTCCATGAGCCTTGTATGAGCCCGCCACAGGGTCCAAGTGGTCAGGCCCTCAGCAGTCATCTCGCCTGGGGTTGTTCAAACTTGTGATGGAGGCCCAGGTCTGGGTGCAAAGGCATGAGGAAGGATGCAGGATGAAGGGGGCTGTAGGCTTCTTGCCCCCACTTTAAATTAATCAGCTTCCACATAGGATTTCACTTTTAAAAACTCTATGCTGCTAAAAGAAACTACACTCACAGCTCCAGCCCATCCCTTATTAGTACCAACAGGGAAACCGAGGCCCAGAGAGGGGAAAGGATGGTCCCCCAAATACCAGCATGTCACACAGAGCCTTGTACCCTGTGTCTACTTCTGGACCAGAACTGTCCGTTCCCCACCCCAACCCTGCCTCAATGTAACTTTTTTTTTTTTTTTTCCGGTACGCGGGCCTCTCACTGTTGTGGCCTCTCCCATTGCGGAGCACAGGCTCCGGACGCGCAGGCTCAGCGGCCATGGCTCACGGGCCCAGCCGCTCCGCGGCATGTGGGATCTTCCCAGAGCGGGGCACAAACCCGTGTCCACTGCATCGGCAGGCGGACTCTCAACCACTGCGCCACCAGGGAAGCCTTCAACGTACCTTTTTGTAACCCTCGCCCAGCAGTCTCTCGAGAAGCAGCACCAGCTGGGAGAAGGGGGGCCGAATCTCAAACTTCTCTTCCCAGCACTTCTGCATGATCTCATAGCTGGGGAAAGGGGCAGAGGGGTCAGGGTCTCTGGCTCAGGGTCTGCCACCTCCCAGAACAAGGGGAGTAATGAAGAGTTTGGAGGGGAGGGGTTTTTCCATTACTGCACCTGCATGTTCCCTTGGGAAGCCCTCCCACCATCCTCAGTTCAGTGGTCCCATGGGATTGATCACACCTTGGTAAGCACATGACACGGGCATGGCCAGTAGGCATTTTTATCCCCTTAGCTCAGTGGCTGGTTTTCTGGATGGGCAGGTGACCCCAGCTGAGCCCTTGACAGTCACCTCTGGACCTTTCACTGGAACTATGGTGAAAGCAGCTAGGACGTAGCCATTTGGACGGTGCCAACCTGAGAGTGAGGCTGACGCGGGGGAGAGCAGAGCCCCGCGGTAGGATGAGAGAGTGTGGATGATGTCTTATGAACAACAGGATCCAGCTATACCTACATTTGTCTACATCTCTGAACTAATAAATCTATTTTCCGCTTAAGCTGGTAAAGTTGGATATCTACTTGTTTGCACCCAAAGTGTCTTCCCAAGCGCTCCACTCACATCTCGTCAGAGGCGTGGGCAGGCTGAGCCATGCGGTAGCCCCGCTTGATGGCATTGTAGAACTGCTCGTTCATGGGCAGCTCTGGGTACGGGGTGCCACCTGTTAGGGAGCAGAAACAAGAAACACAGGCTCAGGTGTGTCGGAACAGTGGCAAGAATCTTCTTCCATGGGACAGGGAGAGGTACACCAACCCCAGCGTCGGTGAGGGTGCAGTGGCCTTGGCATTCGGAAATGTGGGCTCCCTCATAGGCTCTGGACAGAGACTGCATGCCTCCCCAGAATCAGAGAACCAGAGAACGCCGGAGCCAAGCAGGCTTTTTGATGTCACTGTCCAAATTCATCTCTACTGAGATGGGGAGGTAAAGAGATCCAGAGAGGGCAAGAGACTTGCCAAGGTCACACAGTAACAAGAAAGAAGCAGAGCTTCTGAGCGCTGTCCCAGAGCCCGTCCCACAGCCCCACCAGGATGAAGATGTGAGCGGTCAGGGTGGACGCTGTGCCGTGAGGCTGAGGACTGGAGGAAGAGGAAGTGTACCCAGGGTGAAGATCTCCCAGAGCAGGATCCCGAAGGACCACACGTCGCTCAGGGTGGTGTAGAGGCTGTTGAAGATGCTCTCGGGGGCCATCCACTTCAGAGGCAGGAAGGTCTGCGGGAGGGTGGAGGCTGCTGAGTGCAAGGGGGGCCCGGGCCCCACTCTGCACCTGGGAGCCGGGAGGAAGCCTGGCAGTTCCCACCCCCAGCTCTTTCTCACTTCTCGGTCCCTGAGGGCCCATCTCTGCTGATGCATGGTTCCCACGCCCATCCCACTGGTGGTCAGAGGATCAGGAGGCTGAGTTTCTTTTCGCACAAGCTGGGGACATGGTAACCCCTGTCCATGAGGGAGAGCCCCAGGGCTCCTCATGGAACAGGCTCCCCTTCTTGACCCTAGGAAAGTCCACTGCTGGGGGGAGGAAGAGACGTGCCAAGGTGTCACCCAGCTCTCATCCTAGCTGCCTTAGATCTCTGGGCAGATTCCTATGCGGGAAGTGCGGACATGAGTGAGAGGCAGGATGGTCACCTTTGAACCAAATACTGCCTGCCATCTACGCATCTGTCTTAGCCTGTCACCTGGGCTTCTTCCTCTGTTCACCATTGCTACTGGGACAGCACATTTGGCCTGTTGCCCCTTCAACCTCCCCAGGACCCTTGCCCCCTGCCACGACTAGCAAATCTGAGCCCCCGGCCTACCCCACGGGCCTCGGCGTCTCACCCCCGCCCCATGCACAGCTAGTGGCTCCCCTTCCCATCCCTGCACACAGGGCTAGGCAGGCAGAGCCCATCGCCGCTGGGCATGTCAGGCCACGGGAACCCTGTCCTGATCTCCCATGAGCCACAGCCACGCGAACCATGAGGACGGGGAAAGGCACTCACACTGCCTTTGGAGATGTAGTTTGAATCCCGCATGATGTCACGAGCCAGGCCAAAGTCGCAGATCTTGACCAGTTTGCCCTCACAGATGAGCACATTCCTGGCTGCCAGATCTCGGTGGACGCACTGGGGAGGGAGGAGACGGGAGCTGAGACCGTGGCGGGCAATTCTGGGGAAAGACTCTCCGTGTCAGGGGCTTTGGGAAATATGCATCGGTGCTCAGGTGTGAGGGGCCACCAGGTGTGAGGGCATTTGCCGTCCTCACCCGCCAGAGGGCTGCAGTACGGGGCCATGTACTGGGAGCACACTGGCTGGCTCGGTGACCCACCTCCCCAGGACCCCACTGTGCTCACTGTGACCACACATACATTCTTGGAGGCCAGGAACTCCATGCCATTGGCCACCTGGTAGCTGAAGCCCACAAGATCCGTGTAGCTAAGTACTGGGGACTCGTTGATTAAAGTCACCCGGCAGGTCCTCTCAGGAGCTAGGGAAGAGCAGAAGGACACCCACTGTCTTGTGTCTCCCTGGGGCTAGAGAACTCCTGGCCTTTGGCTCGTGGAGGCTGAATGTCCCAGAGAGAAGACTCCTGATCCTCTAAGCCTCCCACAAAAGGAAAACGATTTCCAAATGTCTGACTTAAATTCTCCTTCTTTATCAGAGCCCTCATTGGCCAGAAAAACTTTTGGCTTTAGCCCTGGGCCACCTTTGCTCAGCCTGGCCTGCCTGCTCTTTAGGGACTCTAGATCAGCCTGGCACCTGCAGACCACTCTTCCCCGAGGCCCCAGCAGGTCAGGCACTCCTGTGCCCACCCTAGCTCCTCCCCTCCCTGTGGACTGTGTACACATCTCTGGACCCAGAAACAGGGGGTTCATATTGGGGTTCCACCACACAGCAGCTTTGGGCAGGTGGCTAGCCTCAGTTTCTGCATCTATGAAATGGGCACAAGGTCACCTTCCTAGCAGGGTTGTTGCCAGGCTGGGCAGAGGAAAGGTTTCGAAAAGAATGTATGACTACATGGGACTTCCCTGGTGGCGCACTGGTTAAGAATCTGCCTGCCAATGCAGGGGACACGGGTTCAATCCCTGGTCCGGGAAGATCCCACATGCCGCAGAGCAACTAAGCTCGTGCGCCACAACTAGTGAGCCTGCGCTCTAGAGCCCATGAGCCACAGCTACTGAAGCCCGCGCATCTAGAGCCCGTGCTCCACAACAAGAAAAGCCACCGCAATGAGAAGCAACCCGCGCACCGCAACGAAGAGTAGCCCCCGCTCGATGCGACTAGAGAAAGCCCGTGCGCAGCAACGAAGACCCAATGCAGCCAAAAATTTTAAAAAAATTAAAATTAAAAAAAAAAAAAGAATGCATGACTACATAGGTGTGAGGACCCTGTGCGCACCCACCGGAGGGGACGTAGTTATCATAAGGAGCCATGTAGTTGGAGGACTCGATGTCTGCGTATTTGACGTCCCCTTTCATGTCCAGCATGGGCACGTAGTCCACTGACTCATCTTTGCTCATGTCCATGTAGCCACCATCGCTCTCCCCAGGCAGGGACACATGGCTGGGGGCAGAGGAGCGTTACAAAAGGAGAAGCACAGGCTCTTCCCTCTCTTCCCCTTCCTGCAAGGCCCCATCACTCATGCATTTCTTCTCTCCCTCACTCTCGCATGCCCACACAGTCTGTCACAATATGAATGACCATGTAGTGAGCCCTTCCAGCCAACCTCAGACCCACGCTGAGCTGGACGCTGGGTCTGCCAAGATGACCTAGGACCCAGGGTGTGTCCTCAGAGAATTTACGTCCAGGGGTGATTCCAGCACCCCAGGACCAGGGTCACAGGAAGGGCCTGTACCCAAGTGCCTTCCTGTGGCCACTACAGCACCGTCCAGCCACGATGCCCTGCAAGTGGGCAATGAATCGCCTTAATGCCTCTGCCTGCAGCTGCAGCTCCCCCGAGAGCTGTGGGACTATGTACACATGTGTCTCTAGGGTTAGAGAAAAGACTGGAAGGAAATCAATCAAAATGTTGGGGAGGACACGGGTGAGTTTTAATGTCTTTTAATGCTATTCTGAACTTACTCTTGCCTCTGCAATAAACATGTGTAGCTTTTGTAATTAGCAAAAGAACAAAGAAATGTTATTTTTGGAAAAGAAAAAGAAGAAAGGGGATGAGCTGCCCTGGAGGCACTGGAGAGACTGGTGTGGGGAGGAGGGGGGAGGCTGTGGCGAGGCAGGAGTAGAGTGTGGAGCACCACAGAGGGGTCATCCTGGGACAGGAGGGCCCCAGGTGCCCCCTGTCGACGACAGGAGATGAGATGGGGTGGGGTGAGGGGTCAAGGGGGTCACCCCCTCTGAGCCTCCAGAGCGCTCAGCGCAGGGCCTGGCACACCACGGACAGTCAGCAGGTGGTAGCCGATGCCACCATCATCACCACCGTCATTGTTTTGCCCACCTCTGGGGTGGCCAGGGGCCAGGTCTTGAGCTGGCTGGTGAAACAAGTGAAACCTGGTTCCAGGAGTGGCTCTGCCCGCCCTCACCTCAGCTTTCTGTCCTGGACAAGGAAGGAGTGAGCAGGCGCTCCTCAGGGCTCCCCACAGATTCAGGTCCCGCCCTCCCTCCAGTACCTGGGCAGCGGGAGCCCAACGGGCAGGGCGTTGCTGTAGAGCTCAGCACTGGGCGGGCGGCGCTTGTTGGAGCAGCGCTGTAGAAAGGTGTGCTTGTTGCGGTGCAGGTAGTCCACCAGGTCGCCGTAGCGGCAGTACTCGGTGATGATGAAGATGGGCCCTGCAGAGGGACAGGCTCAGGGACAGTCCCCGGGGGCGGGGGGGGGGGGTCTTCCCATCAGGGCCATGAGGCTAATGACGGGTTGCACGTGGGTCAGCAAAGAGGCTTAGGTGCCAGGCAAACCTGGACTTTCCTGACCGTGAGCAAGGCACTTAGTCTCCCTGAGTTTTACTTTCCCCATCTATTAAATGGGGCTAGTAGTACCCACCCCAAAGGGCTGCACTGAGTATTCACGAGACAATGCCTTTGTCAGCTCAGCTCAATGCCTGGCAAGTAGCAAGCACAGGGTTAGCTGTTATTGATAAAGCTGATTCTCGAGCCCAGGATACAAAATAAACAAAGGTAACTCTTTATTACCAGGTGTTTAAATTCAAACACGATACATCGACTTAAAGTCAATCAGTGGCAGCTTAAACATACTGGTGGAATCAAAAACTTTGAAATATGTGATCATCGCAGACATAAGTTGGCCTACGTACACAGCGTACTTCTGTATTCTGTTTTTGTTGCACAATACCGAGGAAAATCCCAGATCTCACAATAAGTAGCTGTAAATAGCGATAACATTTTTTTTGGCGGCGTAACTTGTAATCAGAGCTTCAAATAAACACATTTGGCTGGAGAGACCTTATTCTATGATCCGAGTGACAGCAGCTCACAGTGAGCAAAAGCTAGTTGGTGGGCTCCAGAGGTGGGGCTATAACTCATTTCAGTGTCACAGGAGCTGTCACTTTTGATAGTTTTTAAAAGGTATTGTAAACAAATAAAAAGGTAAAAATAAAATAAAATGTATCGTGAACATTTTTTCAGTGTCAGAGAACCCCTTGATTTGGAAGCCGCTAGGACTGGTGAACTAAAGAGTCCTTTGGTCTTGAAGGTGATGTGATTGGGTGACTTGCTAAATCCCACACCCATCTGCCTCTGTGAAGTGAGGGCACTAGACAGGGTGGGCACGGACCCTCCAGCTGGAGTGTCCTGTCCGTAAACTGAGGAGGGGGCGGGGAGGGGCCAGGCCTTGGCCACTGGCACTTCCCCAGGATCCTCTAGGGGTGGGTTGTACCTCCTTTAGTGCAGGCCCCCAGCAGGTTGACCACGTTCAGGTGGGGCCCGAGGTGACTCATGATCTTCAGCTCCGACATGAGGGCTTGCTTCTCGCTGCTGCGGGCTGTGGCTGAGGGAGAGAGGGGGCCCTCAGGCTTGGTCCAGTCACTGAGGCCCCGCAGACGCCCCACTGGAGCCTACTCCGGCTCTTCTGTCCCAGGCTGTGCTGTAAGACCCAGGTGGCCGAGGGAGATGAGGACCAGTGCACAGGAGAAGAGGAAAGAGGATGGGAGGAAGATGGAGGAGGAGAGGAGGCTCCCGGAGGAGGGGGCAGGGTGAGAAAGCCTCTTTCCCAAAGCAGAATCAGGAGCGCTGCTGGCTCTGGTGTGAGTGTACTTCCTGTGCCCGGAGAATCAGCGAGAAGCCTGCTCTGGGAGTGCCTGAATGTGCGGGGAGGGCGCAGGGGAGAGGTAAGGGAGGGGCGGGCTCCCAGGACTCACATTTCAGCATCTTGACGGCCACTTTCATGGTAGCCTGCGAATGGCCCAGGCCGTGAGCCGTGGCCTCCACCACCTGCCCAAAGGCCCCGGAGCCCAGGGTGCGTCCTGGGGAAGAGATGATCTCTCAGCTCCTGGCGCACTAGGAAGCTGCACCCCCCTACACTCTCTGAGGTCAAGCTAGACATCCCTCAAGCCACCCTGGACTTAAGGTGTTTCTCCGACGGACACTCCTAAAATCACAGTGCTTTGCAGACCTTCCTGGTCTCGCTTAAGTCCTGCCTGCTTTCTGGCCCCTCTTTAGTCCCTGGAGGCATTCTTCTCCCCACAGAGGGGAGCACAGCTCCTCCACGCTCTCTCAGCCTCTCCAGCTAGACTAAGTGCAGGCCTGGCACTCAGTTTGCCCTCGACTAATACTTCCTCTCTCGCCACGAAGGGGTCCCATCTCACACCATCATTGGATCATAGGACCTCAACGTTGGACGGTCCCTGGGGGACCATCTTGCTGCCACTGTACAGAGGGTGGGGCCCTAGGGCCAGAGAAGGCAAGACGTCAGCCCTAGATCTCAAAGCTAATCATGGCAAGGCTGTGCTCAGACATCAGTGTTCCCACCCGCCTCGAGTCCCCAGACTGGCACTTGAGGCCTCCCTGGGCTGACCAAGCACAAGCTGGTCCCGCGGCAGCTCCCAGGTGGAGTCGTAAGGCAGCTGCATAGGGTCCACGTAGATGTATTCATGGCCATCAGAGCTCACAGATTCAATCACTTTCCATCGGATCTCATAGCGTGGCTTCTGCAGGACCAAGACGAGGGACGGATCATCAGAGGGGGACCACTAGGTCCAGCTCCTTATGAAACAGATGGGGCAGGAAAACCTGAAGCCCAGAAAGGATGAGGGGCATATCTGAAGCCATACAGCAAGTTATCAATAGAGCCAAGGCCTTCATGGCCTCCACGGAACAGATGTCAGGGGGAGGTGCTGAGGAGCAGCTGACAGCTGAGGGGCAGAGGCTCATCAGAACCTCCGCACCAGCTTCTCCCAGAGCCTGGGCTGCTCCTCAGATGGGAAGACGGGAGCAGGCAGCCCTGGAAGGTAACACAAGGCAGGGACATTCTACTGGATGTGGATGGCCCCTGCCCACGCTGCATCAGTCACAGCGGGAATCTCAGAAAGATATAACCTTAGAGTGTTGAAATCATAGGACGTTGGAGTCACAGGATTGGAATCTGAGAATGAAAGAGTCATGGGGTGCTGCAATCCTACGGTGGAATCGTGGAACGGTGAAATCTCAGAACAGTCCATTGAAATGACAGATTTAAAGGGTTAGAATGCCTTTCAGTAGAAGCCTGGGAGTCTCTGTGGGTCAGAGTTGGAAGAATGCTGGAGCCCGTGCAGTGCACCCTGAAGGTCCCATGCCCCGTGGTTGCGCTGGGCAGGGATGATGCCTGAGCAGGACTCTGGATGGAAAGCGGGGTGCACAGCAGAGACAGGGCACCCTGGACGGCCTGGACCAGGCCCACGTTGCCCAGGCTGCTGGGGTTGAAAGCAGCTCAAACACCCAGCATCACTTCACACCTGAGCTCCACGCTGGGCCCCGACCATGGCCCGATCCTACAGCAACAGGGGATGGCGGGGGGGTCCATGCAAAGAATGGTGTGCCAGTCTGCACCCATCAGGCAAGGGTGGGGCTTACCTTCTGCCAGAGCATGATGAGGACGACGAGGGAGATGATCGTGAGCACCACCAAGGCCAGGATTGCCGAGATGACCACCACCTTGAAGGGTAAGGCTGGAGCAGAGACAAGAGCTGCTTATGAGCAAACAGGGCATTGGGCAGCTCCCCTCCCTTCAATCCATCTCTGGCACCACAAATCCCTCTCTGCCCAACCTGCCCAGAATGGAACCAGCCCCATCCCCCTTTGGCCTATGATGTCAGACCCTTAGCCTCTCCCCTCTGGGCCACACCTCCAGCCCCTTGCATAAGTACCCCATGCCCTTCAGTAACTACCCCTGGATCACTACTGGCCTCCAGATCCCTTCAGCCCTTGCCAGGGTCAGTCTGGCCTGTCTGCCATAGCTCCAGATTGGATGCACGCTCCTGACAGCCGGGCTGTGGTTCACCTCTCCTCTGAATCCAGGCCCTCATTGGGGCTGTCACTGCTAGGACAGAGCCTGACTGAGAGGCCAATGGACCCAATAACTGAGCTCCCATAGCCTGAGGCATCCAGACTGCAGAAAGGAGCCGGTTTCCTCCCCCATAGTGATGGTAGTTGTAAAGTACATCGGGGTGTGGGCCAGGGAACTGGGGTAACCAAGTAGGGCCAACTCTGGGTGCCCCCCCAAGCCCTGAGTCTCCTCTACCCCCAAAGCCTCAACCTCTTTGCTGCACAGATACCCACTCCTTCCCACTCCCTCCACATCCACCCTAGCCAGACCCTCACCTCCCCTGTCCTGCCCCTCTGGCCACCCATGAAGTCCCCTGGGAACTCACTCCCTCCTCCTGTGTCACCCACCTGCCCTTCTCTGCTCGCTAGAGAGCTCTGTCCCTCCTCCTCAGGGACTCAGACCAACATCACTCCTCTCCTCCTTTTCCCCATCCTGGGAAGGAAGCCTGCATCTTCTAGGGAGCCATCTCCAAGTAAAAAGAGGGGCCTTCATCCAGCCTTGGAAATTCCCCGTGGGCTGGTACATGGCTTCCCCCTCAGTGGCACACAAAAGTTTTACTTCTGCTTTGCTCAGAGCTGGTCTGCAGGTGCCCACTTGCTCAGGGATATGTGTGCATGTGTGGGAGTGTGAGCGAGATGAGGCATTAAAACCCATCACCCATCCCACCACAGGGCAGGGGGAGGCAGGTCTGCGTAGAGCAGTATCTGCCTGTATAAGCCCATGGACCTACCTAAGTATAGGCATAAGTGTGTCCAAAACACCTTGGACAGCCTTCATAGCTCTGCTTGCACTGGCTTCTGCCTTCTCCTATAGCCCCCTCCCTTACTAGTCCCCTCCCCCTTATCTCCTCCCCCAGCCCCTAAATATATACACTCTGTTCTCCAGCCAGGTTGAATTCCTTTAATTTCTCTGAACCCACTTTGCCTCTGGGCTTTTACAGAGGCTGTTCCGTCTGACCAGAGCACCATTCCTCACCAGGCTAACTCTAGTTATCTTTCAGGTATTGACCTAAAGCTTCCTTTTACCAGGACACTTTCCTGAATCCCACAGCTGGGTATGGAGCCCCTTCTCCCTTTAGGCTTTCCCCCAAAATGCTGACCCCCACGGTGAGGTTGCCTAGTTCCTTGTCTGCCTCCTCTCTGGACCGTGGGCACTAGGAGGACAGGCAGGGCTGGGCCTTCTCCAGTGAGAAGCTGCAACCCTGTGACTATTTACTGAATGAGGAAATAGGTGAAAAAATGAAGCACATGCACGCAGGTCCATGCATGCACAGGGACTGGCAGGTAGCAAAGCATCTGGGCACTGTAGGGACTGTTCATACGGATAAGAATTATGCATGGATGTGTACCTGCTAACAGGCATGCATGGCACAGCAAGCATATATGTATGGGGATTGGGTTGCACAGTTTTACAAAAAGGTGTGCTGCATCTCCACGCTTACAGACGTGCACTATGCCAGTGTGCACACGTGCACGGGAGTTGTACATTGTTTGCACACTTGTATGGGGATTGTGCACCTGCATGTACACGCCTACAGACGTACACACGTGGGTTTATATACCTGCCTGGGGATTGGGGTGCTCGTGTACATGGTTTACAAACATACCCTCAGTGGGTTTACACCCATAAACATGCTTGTGTACATGCTTACAGACACACGCTCTAGCTTTATACGTGTATGTGGGGATTGGGCATTCTTCATTACTTGCTTTACAAATCTACACTTGCAGGGTTTGCACCCATGTCCAAGGATCAGGCATGCTCGTGTACACAGTTTAGGACATACATACAGTGTACATACAAAAGAAGATAGCACTGTTCATTGTCATTGTTTATACACATACACTCGTGGATGTACACATGTGTGGCAATATTGTGCTGCTGTGCAAATGCCTGGGAAGATACACCCACAATGCTCCTGAATGCCGTGGCCCTGAATGCTGACTTTAGCCTGCTGTGGGCACGCAGGCACAGTTCCAAGTACAGCAGGGTTGAGGTGGGGGTGAGGGGTCGTCAGGGGCTACGGGGGATGGAGGACTCACAATGTGGCACCACGGTGACCTCCTGAACGTCTTGGCCCAGGAGGTTGTGCAGCGTGCAGCGCACGGACAGCGGCTGATCCACACGGCGCAGGCGCAGTGTGCTCACCACCTCGAACTCCTGCTCCTCTGCCCAGTATGTCACGTTCGTCTCCAGCAGGCTCTCCTCCTCGGAACTGTTCCCCAGTGGCGTGGGAGGCAGCTCCAGCGGACACCTGCCGGAGAACCAGCCAGGTCGGCTTCCAGTCTCTTGCTTCCCTATGCGGGTGGGAAAACTGAGGCCAAAAGCAGGTAGAGCCACCGGGTGGTGATAGAAGGAAGCTGGGCGCATCCAGTTCCTTTTTCCCACTGCCTGGTCCTGAGTTGGTTCCTCCCGTGATCCCTCAACTGACCAGCAGGGGCGCACCTACCCCAGAATTGAGAACCTGGATTGCAAAATCCACTCCCTTCCTTTGACCTTCAGGGTTAAGGTAAAGAAAGGCGACAATTTAGGTCATGCAGAGCATCTCCAAGAAGCCACATCTTCTAGGATATGGATCTAGCCTGGAACAGTGTTCCCAGAGGAAGGTGTTGGACTAGATGACCTTCATTGGGTCCTTCCAGTCAGCTATGGGTACCCTGGGAGACACTGGCCCAGGGTCTGCTCACCTTTTGAGGTCGCTGCAGGTAGACCAGCTGAGGTGTGGCTGGGGCATGCCCCGGCCACGACAGCGGACTGTCTGCTCCCCGCTGGCAGGGTGGCTCTCGCTCAGCTCCAGCACACGGACAGGCACTGCAGGGAGAGGGGCACGGGCCAGGAGGTGGAGAGGTCAGGATAGACAGTCAGTAAGAAAGGCCCTCAGGGAGGACCTGGTCCAGAGTCTCCCTTGGGGGGAGGGGAGCTTCAGACTGCAGGTGAACATTAAATACCAGGAATCACCATGTGAAAACTGACAGATTCCCCTTCTGGGTACTTCAAAGGGAAAATCTCAGTAGGGTGCTAGTCTGTCTTTAACACCTCTCTGAGATTTGCTAATCTTCCCTTTTAACAAAGAGAGGGCAGGCCTCAGGATCAGAGCCCTGGACCGGCAAGAACATGGAGTTAGAATTTAATAGCACTGTTTTGTTTTCTCAGAGTTTATTTTAGTGGTTGCTTTATACTTATGACATGTGATGCTGATTTTCCATCTACAGTGGAGAAGTTCATTTTTCATTCAAAATAAACTTACTTTTAGAGAGTCAATTCACAAAACATTAAGTCATTATTGTGTCATTTCTCTGCTCAAAATCCTGCAGTGGCTCTTCATTTCAGTCACAGTAAAACCCAAAGTCCATACAAGCGCCCAGGAAGGCCTACACGATCTACCCTCTCCTATCCCCCCAACTGCCCCGTCTCAGCTCTGACCTCATCTCCCACCGCTCTCCCCTTCACTCTGTCCCGGCTACACAAGCCTTTCTGCATTGCTCCTGCCTTTGCACTGCCTGGTGTGCCCTTCCCCCAAATAGTCACTTGGCTAATGCCCTCACCTTCTTCAAGTCTTCACACAAATGTCATCTCCATGCAGCCAATCTTGATCATGCTATTTGAAATTGTAACTCTCCCCACTCCCCTGCCCCCAGGACTCTCTACCCTCCTTACCGAGCTTTTCTGTTTGTTTGTTTTCTTTCACAGCACTTGTTACCTTCTAACCTTGTACATGGTTTGCTGTTTTTGCCCCTTTTTTGGATGTTTATCTTCCCCACACTGGGATGCAAGCTCCACAATGGCAGGGCCTCCAGAACCTTGAATGGACTGGCATATTGTAGTTGCTCAATAAATACCCAATTAGTACTACAGTGTAAGTGGTGTGTGAGAAGGAAAGATCATGCCACTGGGATGTGAATGCCTGAGGTTTTGTAAACACCAATCTAGCCCAATGACCTTCTCGTAAAGCTGTGGAAACTGAGGCCCAGAGAGGGGATGTGCACACAGCAGTGGTCAGTGTCAGAGCCTGGCCTAGAACCCAGCCTCCTGAGTCCTGGACTCTCTCTTCTCCTCCTCCTGTGGGTGGATGGCCAGTGTAGGAATGGCAAGACAATGGGGGTGGGAGGGTCAGGGGAAGGAAAGCAGGGAGGAAGGCTCCTCACCGTTGACCTGCAGCTGGAAGGAGAGCTGGGCTTCAGCATCCTCATGGAAGGCCCGCATGGTGTAGCGGCCAGCTTCAGCCACCTTCACCCGCACCAGTGTCAGTTCTGACACGTACCTGATGAGGAGGACAGGCCAGGAGACCCAGCTGTCAGAGCTGGAAGAAGTCCTACAGCCCCCACCTTTCTTGTAAAGACAGAAAAACAAGGTCCAGGGAGTGGAAGGGGAGTGTCAAGGTCACATGGGTATCAGTAGCAGTGCCAGGACTTTTGAATCCCCACCCATAGGCAGCTCCAGTGAGTCAAGAGGGAGGGTTAGGACGGATGGGGTGGGGGGCGTGGTGGAGGGGAAGCACCATCTCCATCCATCCACATCTCATCCCTTTCAGAAAGGCCTGACACTGCTTTATCCTAACATGCAGCACCTCAGTTCAGTCTGCTAATCTCCAGCCTCAGGGCCACCATTCTTGCATAGGTGGCAGTGGCCTGCCTGCACCCTCTTCTCCAGTCATCCTGCCTTTTTATCCGTGGCTGCTTCCGGCGGACTCCACCCATCACAAGGACAACTAAACATCTGGGTGATCGGATGACCAGAGTCCGTTTTCCCCTCTAGACAGGAAACTCTAGGAAGGCTGGAGCTGTCTGTTCCGGTCTATGCAGCATCCCCAGTGCTTGGCACAGGCCCCTGGTATGGCGCCTGGCATGTAGTAGGCTCTCAGGAAAGATGGGCCTCGATAGGTCTGTCAAGTAGCTTAAGGCTGTGGGCTGCCTGCCGGCTGCAGAGAATAATAACTTCAAGAATGAAGCGGACAGGCCGCCGCTCACCGGGTCTCAGACACATTGCGCGTGGACAGCGCAACCTCGCCGGCGCCGGAGTCACCCAGGGTCCGGTTGTCCTTGAACCACATGACAGTGGGCGGCGGGTAGGCCTCGAACACCACCTGCAGGGTCCGGCTGCGGTGAAGCTCCGCGAATTGTACAGGGTCCAGCTCTCCCAGCAGCCGCACGTAACCGCTCTCTGCAAGGGGCGGCCGTCAGGGGCGGGGCTATGCCCGGCCTCCAATGGGGCAGCAGCTCCTGGGGGCGGGGCCTCAGGCTTTAGGAACTGAACCAGCGAAGGAGTTACCTGAGTTGGGGTTCAGGTGGGTACTGTGATGGACTGGAGCAGGAGCCGAATTTGGGGCTGATACTGGTTTGGGGGCTGGGCTCAAGATTGGGACTGGGGTTGTAGTGCTCTTTGGTGTGTTCTGTCTCAGGATTGTGGCGGAGATGAGTTACAGCCTGGCTGAATTTGGGGATGGGGCTGCCTGGGCCTGGGATGGCAGCTGGGATTTAGAAATCGGGTTGGGGCTCAGGTTCTGGCTAGGCGGGAAGTCTAGGTTGGGATTAGGATTGGAATTGGGGCTGGTACTGTGCTTTGGTTTTGGTTTATCCTGAAAAGGGGGCTTTGCTTGACACTAAGGCTAGAGATGGATTAGAACATGGCTGACAGTACCCCAGGGCTGTGACAAGGTCTGGGTCCAGTTCAGACTGAGGACTGGGGGTAAGCCTAAGGCACACACCGACCACGGTGACATTGATGGCCTTTTCATCTCGATGGTCGCTCACACTTTCTGATACATTGCAGATGTAGGTCCCTGAGTCTCCCAGCTCGGCACTGGGGATGTGCAGGATAGAACGTATGTGGGGCATTTCAAAGAGGAAGTCGGTCACTGGCTCCACCAGCCGCCCACTCTGTAGGGAAAGTTGGGGCAAGCCCCCCACATCAGGAAAGGTCCATGAAGTCAGGCTACAAGCCTGAAATATCCATCCCTGCCTGACCCTTCCTCCAACCCGTGGCCCGGCATTACCTCCATGCGTGGGTATGTCCACTCAAAGTTGACCACCTCATTCCCAGTCACAATGCACATGATGGTGATGTTCTCCCCTTGGCGGACCACAGTCTGCACCGCATTCACTGAGACGTTGATGGATGACACTGGTGGAAAGAGACTGGCTTAGGGCTGAGGAAGTCACCCCCCAGCCACCAGCACATCCGTTTAGGGAGGGGGTGGGGGTCCAGAGAGGGAAGGGATAACTGGTGTGGAAGATTCACTCTTTCGACAAATATTTATTAAATACCTACTATTCTAGGCACTGGGGCTTTAGCAGGAAGCACAACAGACAAAATTCCTGTCCTCATGAAGCTGACATTCTAGAAGGGGTAACAATTTTGAAATCAAAGTACTCTCTGAGCATCTGAGTACAGAAGAAATTTATTGAGCACAACCACATACTCTTTTGTTTTATTTAATCTTCACAATAATCCCACTAGGTAAGCAGTCAGTATTATCCCCATTTTACAGAGGAAGAAGCAGACTCAGAGAGATTATGTGTCTTGTGCAAAGTCACTCAGATGGGAAGTGGCAGAGCTGGGATTCAAACCCCACTGGTTCAAAGCCTGTGCCTTTGCCCACCGCAGTATACAGCCCAGCTCCACCACTAATGCTTCCTGTGACCTTGGACATACTCCATCCTCTTTCTGAGTCTCAGTTTTCTCATCTGTAAAATGGGGCAACACACCTGCCTTCCAAGGCTGTAGTGAGAATTCAGTGAAAAATGGAATTGCACACTGTATTATCCGAAAGGTCTGTACCTCTGTGGAGGGTCATACTTGCCTCTGCTGAGCACCAGGCCAGAAAGGGGGCTCACCCTGGAGGCTGTAGACATAGTAGGCATCCGAATCCACCTCCCTGTCCCCGATGGTGGTTTTGCAGACGTAGGTCTTGTCCTCAAAGGTACCAGAGAAGCCACGTTGGTAGTCATAGGCGATGGGCAGCGGGACATCCACCTTCTTCTCATGCAACGTCACCACCAGTCTCGGATCCGTCACTCGGCATGGAATTGTGGTCTCGGTTATTTCCGTGAGAAAGATGAATAGTTCCTCGGGGTCAACAGGGAGGAAGCCCACAGTGGGATCTGCCATAGGTGAAGCCAAGAATACGAGTCAGAGGAGCTGGGTTTCTGGCTATGCCCTGATTTTCTCTGTTACCTTGAACAGGTCTGTTTCTCTCTCTGGGCCTCAGTCTACCCACTATAGAATAAGCATGCTCTCAGAGGTCCCTTCTTAGCTTTAGCATTTGATATGGACAGCACTGGCCTGAGAAAGAAGATAAGTTGCAAGTTGAAGGGCAGCTGGTACCTGGAGCTTAGAGAATGGGGAAAATGAGATGTGGAGGCCAAGAGGGTGCATACTGGAACCCGCTGAGAATGCAGAGTTCTTGGGAACCAGGAATGGGGTGGGCTGACAGGGAGCAGACAAATATTCAGAGCAAGGGGTGGGAGTGAACATACTCCTGGACTGAACCAGGCTGGATTCCCTGATTCATCTGCATTTCTGAGACAGCTGTGTTTCACCATATCAGTAAGGCACTTTCTGAACTTCCCCTAGATGCCTGCAGTTGAGAAGAGGAATAAGGGGGTGAGTACACAGGCCGGGGTCCCTCACCTGGCACAAAGATGTAGAGTCGTTTTCGCTCGCTGGCCTCCAGCCCATGGGAGCCTTTGTAGGTACAAAAGTATTCTCCTGTGTCTAGCCCAGTGACATTGGTCAGTGTCAGCACACTGGAGAAGGTGCCGTCCTGGCTCGTGGTCATTTCCTGTGGGGGCTTCTGGGACATCCGTTCCCACACCACTGGAGCTGGACCCGAGCAGGTCAGAACAAAGGTGCTGGAGAGATTGAGGACAAGCTCTGGCCCCGGGGGTGTGATGACCAGGCCCCAGGAGGCCGGTGGTCCCAGCAACAACAGCAAGGGCAGCAACAGCACCTGGCCTTTGGGAGAGGAGACATCAGGGCACAAGAGCATGAGCACCTCTCCCCACAGCTGACCCTGAAGAACACACCTCCCTAATCCACAGAGAACGCAGACTGGAACCCATGGCTCTGAGACCTGCTTGCCCGGGGCCTGGTCTCCAGGGACTCCTTCTGGCCTCCTGGCCTCTTGACCTCAGTTCCTAGAGACCCCCAGCCTTGGAGTCTTTCCGCAGTGCAGCTTTCAGGCTGCAGGCATGTTCTCTCAAAGGCATCAGGAAATCCTCGGGAAGCAATTCCCAGGCCTCCAGTTCCTGCATTACTTCCCAGGTCACTTTCTGAGCCTCTTCCCTGCAGCTGCCCCAGATGTCCAGGTTCTGCCCCAAATCCCAGAGATGGCCCTGCTTGGGGAAGTGGTGGCCAAGGTAGTCCAGAGTGAGGCAGACGGGGGCACGAAAGATATTGAGGCCCCTGGAGGCTGAAGGGGACTGGGGATCGGGGGATGTCAAGTGATTGGTTTCCCCTCCCCTTGCTGACACCCCCCGGGGAAGGATTCTGTAAGCCTTGCCCTCCCCACCCTGGCCCACTTCGGCAGGGAACATGAGGTGAAAATAAGCACCCACTTAGACGGGTGGGTGCTCAGCCAGTGGGTCGGTCATCTTTGGGTGGGCCTTTGGCTGGTCACTGATTGCCTGGTCAGCATTGATTGCCTGGAGAAGCCCACCCAGACTTGGGAGCTTACAGTCAATGAGGGGTCCAGGCAGGGAAGGGGAGTCCCCCACCGGAACCAGACTGGCCGGACTAGTACCAACAAGTGCTGACAAGAGATGGGAGACCAGGGTGACTGTTAGGGAATGGGGTGGGGACTGCTGGTGAGGGGACATGGGGTGTGGAGGGCCAAGCCGAGGATTTGAGCTGATGTCTCTGGACAGGCAGAGGTCGACTGAGGCCTCTGAGCTGAGAGGTAGGCAGTGGAAAGAGGCCTCCACTGAGAGCAACTGGAAAGGCAGGGAACTGGTCAAGAGCAGAGCAGTGCCCGGGCCCTGGTGCTGGCATGCACCACCCCGCCAGCTCCAGATCCTACTTAAGTGGCTCCCCAGGGCCTTCTGCCCCTGCCCCGAGTCTACCTACCTTCGAGGACAGGAGCTCGCATGGCACTCGGAGGCCGCATGGTATCCTGCAGAGTTAAACAGGGGTCAGGGCCCAGAGTTGCCAGAGGCAGCGCCAGGGCCCATCTTTGCCTGGGTCCTGCAGAGTAAGCCCCAGCCTGAGCGCCCCAGCCTCTGGATCCCTCGGGCTAAAGTCAAAGGCTACTCAGAGCCCCCTCCAAGAGGGCACTCATGCCCAAGGAGCTCCCTCCCCTGTGCCGGGCCCATTCACAGGGTGCCTGGACCCTGCTGTGGCTCTGCCTCTACCTCCCTGATGGCCTCGGCTGAGCCCCCTGCTTCTCCCTGGGCCTTGGTTTCTCTGTATGTATGTGGGGGGCGGGTCTTGGGCTGGATGGTGTCCAGGGGCCCGCCAGCTCTAACAGCCTGTCCTCCGGGTGACAGTTCCAATACCAGGCTCTTATCTGCCAGGACAAATATTTGGGAAAGTGTGATGAAAGGCCTAGGGGAGAAGGAGGGGGTAAGCCAGAACCGGGAGAACTCCCACAGCTCCACAAGCACAACAGGAAATGGAGGCGGCGTTGGGGAGGGAAGCGGGGGCTGTGGAATGTGGGGGGCACCCCCCCCCGCACTGGCCCCCTTTACTCAGCCCCAAGCTGCCCAGGGAGGCCCAGGAGGGAGGGGTCGGGGGCTGGGCCCAGGGGAGGCCACCCCGCACAGCACGGCTTCGGCAGTCCTTGGAAACTGTTGAATCCAAAGCCCCCACCCACACCTCCAGGGTCCAGATGGGGAGAGTGAGGCTATGAGAGGGGAAGAAGTTTACCTGAGGCTACACAGCAGCGCTTGTCCTGGAGGGAGACAAAGGGACTGGAATGATAGAGGTAAAAAGACAAAGACGCCGAGAGACACAGAGAAAGGAAGCACCGGGTGATGGAGGCAGAGGGAGACAGAAGCAGGGACATGGAGAGAGATGGATCGCACTGCGTGCGTCTTTGCCCTACCCCTGCCCTTGGCAGCCCCATCTGAGGGTCCAAAATAGCCATCGATAGCCAGGCTTGCAAAGGTCTGACTGTAGGATCAACAGGAAGAAGGCCAGAAGTGGGTGGGGGTCATAGAGCAAGAAATGTGGGAGAGACCAGGTGACAAGGCAACCGGGAGAGTGGGGCTCCTGCCTTCCCTGAGTAGCTGCCCTGCCTGGCCCGGCTCCTAAGGCCACACACCGATTGCTCCCACTCCACTTTCATCTCACCCCTTTCAGTTCCCATGCCAGGGCTGGGATCCGGGTTTGAGCCCCAGCAGGGCTACCTCCTGCATCGTCACTATCTCAGTGGCCTCAGTCTGCAGCTCTCAAAATGGGACAACGGCAAGTATACCACTTCCAGGGCTGCGTTTACACATTAGTCGTGGGACACAGGCAAGGGCCCTGGCTTGGGGATCGCTGGTCTCGGCTCTGCCCAGTGCCCTAAGAAGCTCCCTGAATGAATCTGCTCTCCTTCTCCGCATTCTCCCCATCCCTTCAGACCAGCCTGCCTGAGGGTCCCCTCTCCCAGTTGCTTTAGACTCAAAGCCCAGCCAATCTGAGGTCCCCTCCACAGTGCCCTCCTCTCCCATCCCTCCTGCCCCAGCCCTCCAGCTGGATGCCAGGCCTCTTCCAGCAGGAGGGAGCAGTGCCGTGGCGGAGCCAGCATCCACCACAGAGGCCTATCTGTCCCTTGGTGGGTGCCCCTCTGGATCCCCCCTTCCTACCAGAGATCTCAGCCAAAGAAAATCGTTAGCAGCGGAGGCTGGGGGAGGGGGTCATTTCAGCCTCCCTGCCCCTCCCCTCCTGGCCTCCCTGGCTGGCCACACTGTTTATTATTCTAAAGGAGGAATTTGGTCGGCTGGCCTGGAGATGGGAGGTCACGGCAACTAGGACTGGCCTGGCTCTGGAAGGCTGTGGGCCGGGCCCCTGGGCGGGCAAGCGGCCTCCCCCACCACCCCTGACACTGGCTTCTCTCCTGCTAGGCCTGGCGCTAAGGGGGCTTAGAGTCCCTGAGACTCTGAGCTTGGAGGGGCCTTCTTGAACGGGCAGCAGAGGCCCAGAGACGGACAGAGTCATGGCCCAGTCACACAGCAAAAAGACGGAATCAGGCTGCAGGGAGAGGATGGGCTGGGCACAGGAGCTCAGGGAGAGTGCAGCCACCTTCGGGAGAGTATGGACAACCAGGGATCTTGGACTGGCTTCTCTCTTTATGAAATGAGCATTTCACATGGGGCTTCAGACCTACTCTGAGACTGAGTGTGTCTCCAGCCCTCTCTGGGACTCAGTTTCCCCATCCATACAGGGAGAGGTTTGGATGGGTCATCTCAAAGAGCCATCGTGCTCTAAAACTGCCAGAGAGAAGGTTCTGGTCACTATTATTCCTGCCGGGGTGGTCTGGGGATATAGGGACTGATGGGAGGAAGGGCAACATTCCTGACGCTGACGTAGACTGAGAATCCATAACTCATCTCATTCCACGGATTCAATCCCCTGACCATTTGGTCCCAGATTTGCTGTGTGTACTTTGACAAGTTGCTTCCGTCTCTGGACTTCAGTCTTTCAGGTGACTTCCAGACAAATAAACGGGTGATGTGGACACTCAGGAGGTGGCAGGGGGAAGCGTGGTGTGGGCCACAGGCCGGTGGACTGGGAAGAACCAGAGTGGGGCTTGGGACGTGACCTCCTGGGCCATCTTGGAGGATTCCCTGACACCCCCAGTTGTCCATCCAATGCCTTATAGACTTCTGTGCTTCCCAGGGGTTGCTGTATTTCCAGCCGACCCCAGAGGGGCCCAGGTGGCTGATATGGGGGTGGAGGACTTGCCTGTGACCACTCCCCTTTTTCAGGGGCAGGGCTGTGCTCCAAGGAGGAACCACCTGGGACAAGGTGGGTGTCATAGTCAGGGAGGAGGCATCCCCCTTCCTGCCACACTCTCCTGCCTGGGGAGGCCCTTGGAGCAGAGAGAGGGAGGGGACCCTCAGAGATCCCCCCCCTTTGCACATGAGGCGGGTTCTCGTGATTCCTCCTATTTTGGCCAGGTTGGGGGTACGGAGGCCCAAAGATGAGATAATTGCCCAGCTCCTCACAGTGAGTCAGAGGGAACCCCTCCCTTGGTCCAGGGGAGAACCCCAAGTGAGCAGAGGACCCCAAGCCCAGGAGAGCAAGCGTGCTTGAGGAGTCACTGTGAGAGCCCCAGCCTTCTCTCCTTCCTGCTCATACAAGCTTCCACTCCTTTCCCACCGCCTTAATCTAAATAAATCCAGTCCATCTTGGCCACATCCGCTAGCAGCAGCTTCCCTCCCTCGGGGTCCCAAGGCTCCCACGACACAGGCAGGCTGGGGGCGGGGGTGTGCTGCATGGCTGCCAGTGGGGGAGGCTTGCACACGGAGAGCGCTTGCACACACAGCACAGGCTCCTGCCTACGCGCTCGTTCACACACTGCTCTGAAACACACCCGTGTGCAGCGGGCCCTGCGTGTGCCCAGCCCTCACGTCGGCACCAGACACGTGCACGCCCACACATGCACACACGCAGCTCCACGGCGCCCAGACTGCAGCCTCTGTGCTCTCCCACGTGCCCATGTGAGGTGCGCACATGCGCGGCAAGTCACGTGTATACCCTGCACAAGCAAAGCTGTGCACATACAACACGCACAGAGCATGTGCACACGGTACCCCAAACTCACCTGAACACACGTGCACATGTGGGCACAGACAAGCCACAGATCCAACACGTGTTGTGTACTTACTGTGCCAGGTGCCGTTCTGAGCACTTGACATAGATCTACTCACTTGTTCCTCAGATAACACTATGAGGTACATACAAGGATCGTCCCATTTTAGGTGGGGAAGCTGAGGCAGAGAGAGCTTATGGAAGTTGCCTAGGAACACAGAGCAGAGATTGAGCCAAGGCGGACTGCTCTGCCACCATTACTCTGTTTGCTGGGTTTGGCTGGGCTGAGGCCAGCGAGAACTGATGGAAACAGACCGGACTGAGATTTATCCAGCCCAGAATGACAGGACTTGGTGATCTGATGTAGGGGGGCTAGAGAGAGAGGTATCCTGAGCCCCACCCCTATGTCTGGCTTAGAGTACTAGCGGACAGGAGTGTGTGTGTGCTGGGGGCACAATACCATCTTCTGAGATGAGAATGTGGTGGAGGAGAGGGTTTGGGAGCTGGCACTGACCTAGTTTAGAATTTGGAGGGGCTGCGTATCTGAGTGGACAGAGGGACACTCAGTCTGGAGGTGGGGAACAGGCAGGGCAGAAATAGCAGTGAAATGGGGGTGGGAGGAAGCCCTGCTTCAGGGAGAAGTGGGTGCTTGAGGCCAGCAGTCTTGGGCCAGGGATGCTCTGAATAAACAAGATGCCAGAGGGAGGAGGAGGCCCGGCCGTGGGGTCAGAGTCTTGGAATGTCAGAGCTCTGAGGCCCTCAGGAACCAGCTATCTGATCCAGCCCCCTTACCGTGCCTCACTGTACAGATGGGGAAACTGAGGCTTGGAAAAGGACAGGTATAGGTCTCAGTGTTTTGACCTAGGCAATCCTGGGCTCAGTTGACCAATGGGGCACTGAAGCACACCTGACTGGGCAGCCCCTGCCTCCAGCCCCGGCTCAGATGTGAGCCTGGTGGCTCAGGGCCTAGGGTTCAAACCACAGCTGCTGCTACCTCCCTCCCCACAGGATACCGACCCCCCTTGCTACACACAGACCTTTATATCACCTTCCCTGCATTGTCCCAGCCTGGCGGGGATTGGAAACAGACTCAGAGGAGGTGACTTGCTAAGTTGCTGGCAGAAGAGGGGACACAGACTCCGGTCTCCTGCCCGTTGGCCTAGTCCTCTCTCCTCCACACCACAGACACTTCACAGCCCCTGACACAAACTTTGGGGACAGATCCCTGGCTGAGAGTAAGGGATGTGGGTTCTAGCTCAGCCCTGTCACCTGATTATATGGTCCTGCCCCTCTCTGAGCCTCAGTTTCCCCATCTGTACACAGGGTAGACAGGGCTGTCCTAGGAACACTTCTGGGGCTGACATGGTGTGACTCTCAGGACCCTGCTCTGGAAGAAGCTGTGCTGAGTTAGAATGCTGGGGTGGGGGTAGGGTGCGGGGGAGGGGCCCTAGCCAGGATGTCATGACTCAGCTCGAAGAAGGCAGCCAGCTCCAGTCCTGGGCGTGCGTAGGGGCAAGAGGCATCTGGAGCTGGAGACTGAGTCTTCCCGCCAGCGGTTGGGAAAGTACAAGAGTGATGGCAGAGAGTGTGGCCCATGTGGGCTTACCCCAAGTGCGCTGAGTTTTAGGTAGAATCTTGCAACACAGGTAGGGGAACCCCATCCTGGGAGCCAGGAAGGAGAGCAGTTTCCGTTGCGTTGGGAGATAGTTACGGGCTGCGGATAGAAAGCTGGGAAGGGGCTGAGGCTATGCGGCTCTCACCTGCCCCTCTCGATCCGATGCCCCTTCTGCCGCTAAAGGTTCAGCACTCCACCCTACACACTGAATCTCCCCACAGACCTCAGGATCGCATGGAGGTCAGAGAGGGTGTGCAACCTGCCTCGAATCACACAGCGATGCTGCTTGATCACCCAGGCCCAACTCTCTGCCACGCTGCTTCTAGACCCAGAGGACCTTCCTGCTTTCCAGGTACCTATGAGGTCTCCCAAACAAAGCAGCAGAAGTCAGCTAAGCTGGGGCCTGGCATGGGATCCAGCTGTTCTGGAAGTCCAAGTGAGTGGAAGAACAGTGCTAGTTCCACGGACTGTCAATCTGATGCCCCTACCCCTGCCCCCTCCAGCAGAAACTTGGTGGCCTCTGCCTGCCCCATTGTACCAACCCCTCCCCTATCACCTCCAGTCTGTCCCCTCCTGCCTGTTCTCACACCCTAACCAGAGGAACATTTCTGAAATCCCCATCTGACCCTGTCCTTCGCTGGCACCTCCATGGCTCTCCATCCGCCCTCAGTAAAGGCCGGCTTCTTAGCCCAGCCTTTAAGACCCTTCAAGCCCTGGCCCTGCTGACAGATGGCTCATCATGACAGAGGGGGGAGGATGCTGTCCTCCCAGCTCCCCAGGGGCCCAAGTGAGGCCTCCATGCTCTTGTCGCTCACTCTGTGCTCCTGTCCCCAGGAGGCCTCCCCAGGGACACAATGGAAAGAAATGACCTATTTTCTGGAAGTCCAAAATAAGACGAAACATCTGTCTGGATCGGAGTCAGGCTGATAAAGAACGGGCTGATCCCCCCAGTCCGAGCCCCTGCTCCTGCACACCCCCTCACCCGCGCTTGGGGGTAGGGGGAGCAGGCCAAGCTCCTTGGAACAGTTCATGGGAAAGCGCTCAGTGTGTGCCTCACGGCCGCTGGGGGCCCAGGGGAGGGGGCCTGGGTCCCCACACGGGCTGGGAAGCAGCCCTGAGAAGGAGGTCAGGGAGGGAGGGAGGCCCACTGCACACGCCTGTCCACCCGCCTGCCGAGCAAGCACTGCTTGCCTCCCCCGGCGCCTCGCTGGCCTCCCTGTTCATCCCCATGGCCACTCCCCGGCCCATATGGCCTGGCTCTGCCCAGGCCCAGTGATCCCTGGACTAGAGTCCTCTGGATCCCAGCTAGGCCCCAGTGGCCCCTTCAAAAAGGAACAAGGACTTAGAAGGCCTTCAAAATAACAAGAAGAAGAAGAATAACTACCTATGATTTAGTTCTCGTCACTCAAAGCCTGGGCTAAGGCCTGAACGTGAATGATCTCAGAACAATCCATGACATCAGTGTTGCTTCCGCATTTTACACACGAGGAAAGCAAGGCACACAGAGGTCAAACCGTTTGCCCAACGATTTCACCAGTACTGGAGCTGGTGCTCGATCCTGGGCAGACTGACAGCACACAGGCTCAACACTCATGCGACAGCCTCTCTCAGGCAGGAGGCAAAGATGTCAAGCTTGTGTCTGGCACACAGTACGAGCTCAATATACAATTCACCAGGTTTATTCTTTCACCCTCTGTTTTCCAACCTCTCCTTCAGTCTCCTTCAGCCAGGTGAACCTGGCAGGATAAGCGGGGAGGAAGTCACACCATCTTTCACAGAGCCCTATAATCTTAGGGCTGGGAGGGGCTGTAAGTACTCCCAATTCACATCTCCCCCACCCTTTCTGCAAACAAAGGGGTTGTCCAGCCTCCAACTGCACACCTCCCATGATAGGGATCTCACTACCTCACCCGCAGCCCATTCCATTCTTGGACGGCCCAGGATCCTCAGAGGTCAGACTATTTGAAAATTTTTATTCCATTGAGCACAATCTGTCTCATCGTATCCTCTACCCATTGGTCCTGCTTCCATTCACCAATGCCAATGCCCCCAACCCTGCAACAAGGACGGTTTTCTTCCCATTCATTTTTCTGATGCTCCACAATCTGGAAACAAACAAAAGCCCTTACTAATTCAGAGCTAGGGACTCTGCTAAATGAGATGACCTGGGGATTTTGTTTTATCCTCACAACAATCCTGTGAGGAGGATACAATCATTATTCCCATTTCACAGAGGGGGAGACTAAGTCTCAGAGAGGTACGGCAACTTGCCCAAGGTCACACAGCCGATAAGTAATAAGCCAATGATAAGCTGGGATGCAAACTCAGGCCCATCTGACTCCAAACCTGTATTCTTAACTGCTCTGCTAGACTGCCTAGCTTCTGCCCAGAAACAGGTCTGTTCACAGAGAAACACTCCCACATGGGTTCACGCGAATGGGGTCCACACTGAATACAGGCTCTCAGGGATGAGGGATCCTCAGAGGTTACAGTCCTGTCCCTCCCTCACTGAGGGGCAGAGTGAGCAAGGGATCTACCCCAGCTCACCCAGGAATCTGGAAGTCAAGTAAGGGTAGAACTCAGAACCTTTCTGCGACGTCACTGCAGAGTCTGAGGGTCAGCATCTAGGCTGAGGAGAGGAGTCTCTGCTGAGGACAGCCTGGGTCTGGCAGAGGCAGTGCCCAAGCAGGTCTCTGGTCTACCATGAGGCCTGTCCCAGACGCCTCTGATAAAGAGCATCCCAGTAGTCAGGCTAGGTGCGTGGTCAGCGCTGCCACAGGCCTGCTGCGCTCAGGGTCCAGGCCTGCCCCTGCTGAAGCTCCAGCACCCCTTCCACTGTTCACAGAGGGCCTGGGGGCTTCTGCAGCTGCAGAGTTCCAGGCCTCCACCATCCCTCGGCTGCCCTCCCTGAAACCCGCCCCCTGCAGCCAACCTCCAGTCTCATCTCCAGCCGGTGCCATGGCAACGGGGAGCGTCAGGCCCTGGCAGCCAGAGGAGCCCCTGAGCGGGGTCCCAGGCTGAGGCTGGGGAGGGGGGGCGCAGCAGGCGCAGACAAGCAAACCTTCTGTTCCCCTGGCTGCTGCCAGCCCGAGATCAGCCCTGGGCCGGGGTGGGGGCCACACATAAAATGGTTCTCAGAGCCAAGTGGGCAGGGGGCAGGCCTCGGCCATTCAGACTGACCCACCAGCACGCGGCCTTCCCCCAGCAGCCCAGAGCCGGCACATCGGGCAGGGCAGCTAGCTAAGGAGAACCTGCGTCTAATTGCTGCCAATTACGGAGCATTGAGATTCCCCTCAGAGCCCTCCTGGGCAGCAGAGCCAGAGGGGAGTGAAACGCCCACGTTTCACTCCCCTCTGGCTTTCCCAGCATCTGTTCTTTCACCCCTTCCTCCAGTCGCTCACCCCAAGTCTCCCACTTAACTGTTACTCAGCCTCCCTGTGCCTCGGGTTTCCCATCTGTAAGTCAGGGCTCGTCATCGAGTTGTCAAGGCCTTTGAATGAGTTAATACAAGGAAAATACTCAAAGCAGGGCCTGGCACACAGCCCTCGGCCAAGTCAGTGGCCACGTGACTGTTCTTCATTCACTCACGGGAG